GTGTATAGTATCATGTCATCTGCAAACAGTGACAGTTTTACTTCTTCTTTTCCAATTTGTTGCTTTTATTTCTTTTTCTTCTCTGATTGCCGTGGCTAGGACTTTCAAAACTATGTTGAATAATAGTGGTGAGAGTGGGCAACCTTGTCTTCTTCCTGATCTTAGAGGAAATGCTTTCAGTTTTTCACCATTGAGAATGATGTTTGCTGTGGGTTTGTCATATATGGCCTTTATTATGTTGAAGTAGGTTCCCTCTATGCCCATTTTCTGGAGAGTTTTTATCATATAAATGGGTGTTGAATTTTGTCAAAAGCTTCTGCATTTGTCAAGATGATCATGTTTTTTATTCCTTAATTTGTTAATATGGTGTAGCACATTAATTGATTTGCATATATTAAAGAATCCTTACATTCCTGGAACAAATCCCACTTGATCATCATGTATGATCCTTTTAATGTGTTGTTGGATTCTGTTTGCTGGTATTTTGTTGAGGATTTTTGCATCTATGTTCATCAGGGATATTGGTCTGTAATTTCCTTTTTTCTGTGATATCTTCGTCTGGGTTTGGTATCAAGGTGATGGTGGCCTTGTAGAACGAATTTGGAGGTGTTCCTCCCTCTGCAATTTTTTGGAAGAGTTTGCGCAGGATAGGTGTTAGCTCTTTCTAAATGTTTGATAGAATTTGCCTGTGAAGCCGTCCGGTACTGGTACTGGACTTTTGTTTGTTGGAAGATTTTTAATTACAGTTTCATTACTTGTGATAGGTCTCTTTATAGTTTCTAATTATTCCTGGTACAGTCTTGGAAAATTGTACCTTTGCAAGAATTTGTTCATTTCTTCTAGGTTGTCCATTATATTGGCATATAGTTGCTCACAGTAGTCTCTTATGATCCTTTGTATTTCTGAGGTGTCAGTTGCAATTTCTCCTTTTTCATTTCCAATTTTATTGATTTGCCCTCTCCCTTTGTTTCTTGATGAGTCTGGCTAAAGGTTTATCAGTTTTGTTTATCTTCTCAAAGAACCAGCTCTTAGTTTTATTGATCTTTGCTATTGTTTCCTTCATTTCTTTTTCATTTATTTCCGCTCTGATCTTTATGGTTTCTTTCCTTCTACTGACTTTGCATTTTGTTTGTTCTTCTTTTTCTAGTTGCTTTACGTGTAAGGTTAGATTGTTTATTTCACATTTTTCTTGTTCCTTGAGGTGAGACTGAATTGCTATAAATTTCCCTCTTAGACCTGCTTTTGCTGCATCCCATAGGTTTTGGGTCACTGTGTTTTCACTGTCATTTGTTTCTATGTATTTTTTTTTCTCTTTGATTTCTTCAGTGATCTCTCGGTTTTTTAGTACCACACTGTTCAGCCTCCATGTATTTGTGTTTTTTTACAGGTTTTTTTTCCTGTAATTCATTTCTAATCTCATAGTGTTGTGGTCGCAAAAGATGCTTGATACAATTTCAATTTTCTTAAATTTTCTGAGGCTTGATTTGTGACCTAAGATATCATCTATCCTGGAAAATGTTCCATGTGCACTTGAGAAGAAAGTGTATGCTGCCACTTTTGGGTGGAATGTCCTATATCAATTAAATCTACTACCATTGTGTTACTGTTGATTTCCCCTTTTATAATTGTTAGCATTTCCCTTATGTATCGAGGTGCTCCCATGTAGGGTGCATAAATATTTACAGTTGTTACATGTTCTTCTTTGATTGATCCCTTGATCATTATGTAGTGTCCTTCCTTGTCTCTTGTACCATCTTTATTTTAAAGTCTATTTTATCTGATATGAGTGTTGCTACTCCAGCTTTCTTTTGCGTTCCATGTGCATGGAGTATTTTTTTCCATCCCCTCACTTTCAGTCTGTGTGTCCCCCTAGGGCTGAAGTGGGTCTCTCGTAGACAGCACATATAGGGGCCTTGTTTTTGTGTCCATTCAGCCAGTCTGTGTCTTTTGGTTGAGGCATTTAATCCATTTACATTTAAGGTAATTGTCAATATGTATGTTCCTATTGCGATTTTCATAATTATTTTAGTTTTTTGTTTTTTTTTTCCTCTGTGTCTTTTTCTTCTCTTACGTTTCCCGCCTAGAGGAGTTCCTTTAGCATTTGTTGTAAAGCTGGTTTGGTGGTGCTGAATTCTCTTAGCTTTTGCTTGTCTGTAAAACTTTTGATTTCTTGGTCAAATCTGAATGAGATCCTTGCTGGGTAGAGTAATCTTCGTTGTAGGTTTTTCTCTTTCATCACTTTAAGTATATCCTGCCACTCCTTTCTGGCTTGCAGTGTTCCTGCTGAAAAATAAGCTGATAACCTTATGGGGATTCTCTTGTATGTTATTTTTTGCTTTTCCCTTGCTGCTTTTAATATTTTTTCTTTGAATTTTATTTTTGTTTGTTTGATTAATATGCATCTGGGTGTGTTTCTCCTAGGGTTTATCCGTATGTGACTCTCTGAGATTCCTGGGTGGCTATTTCCTTTCCCGTGTTAGGGACGTTTTCGACTATAATCTCTTCGAATATTTTCTGAGACCCTCTCTTTTTCTCTTCTTCTTCTGGGACCCCTATAATTCGAATGTTGGTGCGTTTAGTGTTGTCCCAGAGGTCTCTGAGATTGTCTTCAATTCTTTTCATTCTTTATTCTGCTCCTCAGCAGTTATTGCCACCATTCTGTCTTCCAGCTCACTTATTCATTTTTCTGTCTCAGTTATTCTGCTATTGATTCCTTCTAGTGTATTTTTTATTTCAGTTATTGTATTGTTCATCTCTGTTTGTTCTTTATTTCTTCTAGGTCTTTGTTAAACGTTTCTTGTATTTTCTCGATGTGTGCCTCCATTCTATTTCTAAGATTTTGGATCATCTTTACTATCATTACTCTGAATTTTTTTCAGGTAGGTTGCCTATTTCCTCTTCATTTATTTGGTCTTGTAGGTTTTTACCTTCATCTGCTCCTTCATCTGTAACATATTTTTTTGTCATCTTTTTTTCTTTGATGGGTGGGACTGTGTTCCTATCTTATTGGTTGTTTGGCCTGAGGCTTCCAGCACTGGAGTTTGTAGTCCAGTTGCTCAGGGGTTGCTCCCATCCCCAGAGTCTGGTAGGTGCCCTAGTTGTGGGGAGATGTGAACTCTGCATCCCCCTACTCCACTATCTTGACCACTTTTCTGCCCTTAGGAGACTTAATAAATGTTTCCAATTAAATGACATAGGATGGAATTAACTGCAATACTAGATATGGAAGAACAACCTGTGTCCTGTTTAGAGTTGCTGCATTATTCTCTTAAGATACAGTTACTCTACATGAAGAACTAAGTACCACCTAACATCAGAACTATCTTTATAGCTATGTCATTTGGGCCAACTGTTTCAGATTCTTTTTTTCCCTCTAAAACCATTATGCAAAGCCACTAATAAGTAGAAAGGCAGAGTTAAGACCCCCTTCCTCTCCCTTTTAATTTTCAACTAGGGATATATCAATGTGCACAAAAGGGCTGAACAGCAGACAGCTGAAGAGAGAAAGAAAAAGAAGCAAAGAAAGATAACTTGTGAAAACAGATTCAGATCCTCGGCAGTTCAGATTGGGCTGTTCCCAGGTACTGTGCGGGCTGTGAGCATTAGAATTTGAAGCTCAGTTTCTTACTTGCTTCTTTAGTGTTAGTTCAAGAAAAAATTGGATTTCTAGGGATTTCTTCTGTGCAGAGAAATTCTGCTAATGCTGCTTATGTAGCAGCTCTTTTTGCCAGCCTTTCACTCTCAGAATAATAAACTACAATCAAAGCCAAGTTGAAGAAGCATCTTAACCTCTCAGACAAGGGATTCTGCTCCTCTTAGCAACTAACATAATCCAGGACCCTGTCGACTGAAAAAGAAAAAAAAAAAAAGCACAACCTGGAAGCTGAGTGTTACGTTTTATGTGGTGGACATTGTGAGGACTTAGGGACAAAGCATCTCATAACACTGAGAAATGGTTCTGAAGAGGCAAGGGGATGAGCCAGTATACGTAATTTTTGCAACAAAAGACCAGGTAGTCAGAACATTAAAAGATTACTGTTAATCAAAGAAAACCAGACATCCCAAGTTAATGAATTTAGTGCTTTTCTATACATGGGAAGATGCAAAGTCTGGGCTCATTGAAATTCCTTTGATGTGCACCTCAGCTGTCTGAGGCCAGTATCCTGTGTTTTTCTCATCCTGAGTCTCCTCAGCGTGCACTGTTGGGGGTGGCCGCACACATTCTGGTTCTATCCTGAGTTCCCTCAGGGCTTATTGTCGGGGCAGCTGTAGTGTGGTGGCTTGATGGCTGCAACATCCTTTGTTCACTGATATGACAGGCAATTTTTTAGTTCACAACCCTAAAGAAATTCTGGAGGCATTTACTTTTTTCCCAAATACTAAGATTCTGTCAAACCAACTTAACAATTGCTGTCAGGTCACTGCCATCTGGTTTGTATGACATCAACCTGATTTTAGATAGAGTTTGATTTTCTTAAATCAAGAAATTTCCCAACTCTGTGTATCTGTATAAATAGCCGTTAAAGCTCAGAATCTGAGAACTAAAAGCACTAACTAATGATAACCACCCCAAATGCCCTGGGCAGAATATAAAATGCCAGACTGCTGAGTGCTCTACTTGATGCACTGTGGTGACCTAAATGGGGGGGAATCCAAAAGGGAGGGGATATATTTATATGTACGGCTGATTCATTTTGCTGTGCAGCAGAAGCTAACACAACGTTGTAAAGCAACTGTACTCCAATAAAAATTAAAGAAATCATAGTCTAAAACTCATTTTTCTTCCCTTCCTATAACATTATAGTAATAAAAGGTCAGGTTAGGCCTTTATCTGCCTAGTAAAACAAGTTAATCAAACCATTAAAATACCAGCCAGGCCTACCACCCAAACAGATTTTCTCTATTCTTCCCCTCCTGTTCCTTTACAAAATATTGTCTGAGTTATAATACTTTATTGTGAAACATTGTGTGCAATGGGTTTTTTCCCTGCTGATTAACAGGTTTTGGATTCAGGGAGACTAGAAGAATACGATAAGCCATATGATTTGCTGCAAGATAGAGACGGCCTGTTTTACAAGATGGTGCAACAACTGGGCAAGGACGAGGCTGCAGCCCTCATTGAAACAGTAGAACAGGTAAGCCTGCCACAGGGAGTTGTGATTAAAGTTTGTCTCCAGGATTTACTCTTCACACGATCTCTACCAGGTGTCTGATAAGCACTCTGTGCCCTTTTCAATTATAAGCCTCCAGAGACAAAGCTTCATGACTGGGTCTTAACAACACACTGCAAGTTGAAGGTGGGTCTGCTGAGCACCTGCAGAAGCTGTGAGGGTGGGGTGCAGGACGTGCATGTGCACATGTGCCTGAGAGATTTCAGATTGGACTTTGCACATGTTTCAACTTCATGGGTTCAGATTCCCATACAGCACAGAACACTCATTTTGCAGACCCTCTACGTTTCATTCTGAGGGGTGCTCAGCACATTGTGATACGAGTGCTGTCAAGGAACATCCAGGAAGTTTGAGGGGAAAAACATCTGGAATATTTCTGGCCTAGGGAGATCTACCAGGGAAAGGTGTAGGTCACTTCTATTTTCTCATCTTCTAGGAGTAAAGAAAACTCCTTCATGATACTGTCACTTTCTCCCTAATTCTTTGTTGTTTAGAATTAGGTCCAGTTGCCCCCCTATGCTTCCTGTACCTTCTAGAAGATGAAATTGTCATCAGGACAAATCAAGAATTCACAGTAACCCTAACACTGTAGTGAATGGTGCTTGAAGGTTTACAAAGTATTTTCAGAGATGAGATGTGTGAAAGCACTAAGCACTGTACATGGCGTGAGAAAGGTGCTTGATGAGTAACATTTGGGTCACGTACATTTCTAACAATGGTCAGGTGGTAGTATCTCCTATAGATGTGATAACTGAGGTCTGGTTTAAGGGTTATCCATTGTCATGCAGCTGCCTGTAATTCTTTCTGGAACAAGGTGGGAGTGGGGTTGATGGAAGGAGGGAGGGAGGGAGGGGAGGGCTGGTGTTCTTGCCCACTGAGATGCGTGGCTCACATGGGAAGAGGTTTCCGACTGTATATGATATCTTTCCATCAAAACTTTATCTCTGGGCATTAAATTATGGGTGCATTTTTCCTGATTTATACTTTTCTGCATTTCTGCATAAAATTACTTGTAAAATATTTAATCCATCAGTTAAAGAAAACATGTCCCAGTGTCTAAGTAATTCTTTAGAAAGGTTTATCTAAAATGTAGCCTAAGTTCCCTCTGTCACTGTTTCATCTCATTCCTCCTCCTTAGAAATGAAGAGCAGTACCTTCCACTGTTCACAGAGTAGGAAACAGTCCAGGGTCACAGAGCTGGCTGAAGAATGGGCAGAGTTGGAGTTCACATCTAGGTTTAGGGATGATGAAGTCTGTGTTCTGAACTTTTCCTAAGTACTTATATTGTATGCGAACATACAGAAGCTGCCCTTGGAGCCCTATATTTTTTTATGCCTGAAATTCACACAGCACTTTCATTTACTAGAGTGAGACCTTCCTTCTGAAGACCTGATAATAATTTGAGATTCCCTGTATAACCTAGGCACAAAATGGCCAGGAATCTCCCAAACCCTTTTGGTCTTTTGACCTTAGGCATTTCACATCTAAGAGAGATGTCCCCACCTGTGTGTCAGTCTTCATTTAAAAAGTGTCTTATAATAGGGTTCAACATCCTCATTTTACAGGTGAGGAAACTAAGGCCCCTTAGAAGGAAGGTGGTCTTCTATATATAACTAGTGTTAAGCTAGTTTGCAGCAGATACACAATTAGAAATCTGTTCTTTCAGTATATGTTTTAAATCAACTGTAACATAAATACAAAAGCAGGGATAGGTCACAGAATTAGAAATCCTGTGATTCCTGATCTAGTAATCCTGCACCTACTTTAACAAGATTAATGTTAAGTTACATTTGTATAGTTCTTTATAATTTATTGTACATTCTTCTCACATGTATGATTGCACTTAATCCTCATCATGGTCTTTTATCCCAGGTCATGGATGAGGAGACTGGGTCCAGGGCTCACCTAAGGTCACAGAACTGGTCCAGGGAGCGCAGGGGGTGAATTGGTGGGGGAGGCTGAGTTCCGCCCTAGGCACTCTGCTCTGTGTCAAGCCTGAGAACGCTGCTTCTTTCATGTGGTAGCCAAGGCGGGCCAGTCACCCAAGTTCACAGGGTGGCAGAACATCACTCTTGGATTTCAGTCCTGCCACTGGCTCAGGTCACCTCTACAGAAAGACATAAGGAAATACGTACCTTGACTCCCATCCTAGTTGAATATCCTCTTGACATTATTTCTGCATATGCTCAGTCTTCTTAGGAGAACAACCTGTCAGACTGTCAACTTTTTAAACGTGCAAGCATCAGATATCAATGCACTGTTCAGAGCTGTAACACAGGGAGGACTAGCCTAAGTCAAGCTTTTCACTCTAACAAAACAGAATTCATTCGTTTGAAAAGAAAACATCTGGGGAGAGGTGCTTCCAAGCCACGTTTTCTTGACCCCATAGTTGCTTCTCTGAAAACGTTGGTGCAGGCAAGCTGAATCAGTCTGATTTACCCTTTTAGATGATCCGTGAAATCGCAGAGAAAGTACTTTTTAGATACATAAAGCTGAATGATGCATTAGTTTGCTAGGGCTGCCATACAAGGACCACATAGTATGCAACTTAAACAATGGACATTTATTTCCTCACAGCTCTGGAGGTTGGAAGTCTGAAGTTAAAGTGTTGGTAGGGTTGTTTTCCTCTGAGGCCTCTCTCCTTGGCTGGGAGGTGCTGTCTTCTCTCTGTGTCTTTGCATGGTCATCCGTCTGTGTGCCTGTGTCCTAATCTCTTCCTATAAGGACACCAGTCATATTAGATTAGGGCCCACGTATATGACTTCACTTTAACTTATTTGCCTCTTTAAAGATCCTGTCTCTAAATACAGTCACGGAGAGAGGCATGGATATATATACACTAACAAACGTAAGGTAGATAGCTAGTGGGAAGCAGCCGCATGGCACAGGGATATCGGTTCGGTGCTTTGTGACCGCCTGGAGGGGTGGGATAGGGAGGGTGGGAGGGAGGGAGACGCAAGAGGGAAGAGATATGGGAACATATGTATATGTATAACTGATTCACTTTGTTATAAAGCAGAAACCCCAATAAAGATGTTAAAATAAATAAATAAATACAGTCACATTCTGAGGTACTGGGGGTTAGGACTTCAACATATAAAATAGAAGGTGACAGGACTCAGCCCATAACAAAGGATGAATGCCTGTCATTCAGTTTCTTCTGTGATGAAGCAGACATGACTGAGGTTTTTTGGAAGTTTCTTTGTTCCCACTGTGTAACAGAGGTGTCATTTTATCTACTCATGAAATCACTAGATACAACCCAAAAGTTATGAAATCCTAATATCCTAGGAGCCTGGACCAGTTTGAATAGGCTGCAGGAGGCACTTAGCAGCGATGTGGCCTTATGTCCCCCAAGGTCTCTGAGCCTCAGGGTCCTCACCTGTATGCAGTGCAGGGATTACAGCACTGCTTAGCTTCTTCACACTTAATTACAGGGATCAGATGAGACAGCAGATGCCTAAGTGCTTTCAGATGAGATAGCAGATGCCTAAGTGCTTTGAGAATATAGAGCGTTTTATGGGATTTTTTAAAAGGCTATAGACTAAACCCTTCCCTCCCAATAATAATAAAAAAAATGCATCCACAGTTCTTTTAAGTAGCTTTAGAGACTCTAAATAATTAAAATGTATTATTTTTAATAATCAGTTTTTAAACAAATGATATACCTAATGCTACAAAATTCAAAAACTTTACTTTTTAAAAAAAATCTGTACATTTTTTATTTCATACATTTGTCATGTTTAAGGGAATTTGGCATATTGGAATAGTGAATACAATTTAAAATATCTAGTTACTAATTTACACTTGTGATTTTAAGATGAAAAGTATAAAAATATTTTATCACAACTTATATACTATATTTAAGAGTCTACATTGTTAGAGTTGGTTTTTTTAATCTTTATTGGAGTATGATTGCTTTACAACGTTGTTTTCTGCTGTATAACAAAGTGAATCAGCTATATGTATACATATATCCCCACATCCCCTTCCTCTTGCATCTCCCTCCCACCCTCCCTATCCAACCCCTCTATGTGGTCACAATGCACTGAGCTGATCTCCCTGTGCAATGCAGCTGCTTCCCACTAGCTATCTATTTTACACTTGGTAGTGTATATACGTCCATGCCACTCTATCACTTCGTCCCAGCTTCCCCTTCCCCCTCCCCTTCCCCATCCTCAAATCCATTCTCTACATCTGCGTCTTTATTCCTGTCCTGCCCCTAGGTTCATTAGAACCACTTTTTTTTTTTTAGATTCCATTTTTATGTAAAAACTTTACTTTTTTAAATAGGTTTTTAAAATTTATGAATAAGTCACTCTGCGACTCCTGTCATCACACAGCTCCTCCCCCAGGATGGAGCCCCAGCACAATTGCTGACTGTTCTGTTGACATGTTCTGTGCATCAGTAAGAACTTGTGCATATGTGGCCTTCCTTGTTTTTAAGTGCAAATGATAGTTGTTCCTTGATTTTTCATTTAAATATCTCAGATTATATTAATACATAGTTACTTCATTGTTTTTAATGGCTAGATAGTATTTATGCTCTCTCCATTCCCTACTCATTTTCCTTTTTTTTTTTTTTTTTTTTTGGCGGTACGCGGGCCTTTCACTGCTGTGGCCTCTCGCGTTGCAGAGCACAGGCTCCGGACGCGCAGGCTCAGCGGCCATGGCTCACGGGCCCAGCCGCTCTGCAGCATGTGGGATCCTCCCGGACCGGGGCATGAATCCATGTCCCCTGCATCGGCAGGCGGACTCTCAACCACTGCGCCACCAGGGAAGCCCTCATTTTCCCTTCTAATGAACTGTTACAGTTTTATGTTTTCTCCCCCAAAGAAGGAACTCTCACATTCACTTACTACTTGTATTCTTTTTGATAATTTATCACTTTCTGCATTTCATCTTTAATCATTCCTTCCTTCCTTTGGTTTATTTTGTTGTTTCTTCTTACTTCTTGAATACGT